CTACGATATCTTTAGTGTGAAAGATTAGTACCTATTGATGCAACCTTAACCAAAGAAAAGTTTGTGGCCTAGAATGAGTAGCCAATGATGTGTTTGTGTTTTCTTTGTTTTGTTTTATTTTAATTTGCTCGGAGTGCAAAAGTTCAAGTGTGGAGGAATTTGATCAGTGCATTTTGATGCATATTTCTCTATATCTATACTTATGCATTTCTATGTTTTAGTTTGGTTATTTTTCCTTTTTATTGTATTTTTATAATTTATTTTATTTTTGCACTTATTTATTTTTCGCACTTTATTTTCAGCTTTAGCAGCTTTCGCAAATAAATTCATAACTTGAGCTTCAAGAGTCGGAATGAGGCGTGCTACCAGTCGTTGAAAAGCTAAGAGAAAGAGCTACAATTTTCATTCAGAAGTCGAGAGCTGAATCAGAATGTAACAAGGCCAGAAATTTCATTGAAGTTGCAGCTTTAGAAATATTTCTTGTTTTGGGTCATTTGTAATGGGTTTGGGTTATATTTTCGATCCAGTTGGGTTATGAACCGAATCCTTGTCCTTGCTATACCTAGCAGCCGCTACAATAATTTCTTTTTTTTACCTTTTCATTATTCAGAAAAAAATACATTTTGCTTTTACACTTGAATGAAGAACTAATCATCCAGAGTTGATCTACTGTAATCATGTTCTGATGCTTTGAGGTTTTTAACTTATCAATTCAATTTCGTTTCTCTTTCAATTCTATTTTATGAAATTGCATTTGCTTAATTTGTTATTTCATGGAATGTCCTGATTAAATTCGTATGATTGTATTTCTAATCTTTAATCGTTGTTTACGTCGCTTAGTCGTTAAATCGCGTTTTATATCGTGTTTGCTTAATTCACGATTGTATTAATCCGTTTGCTTAATTCAGAATGGGAATTCAATCTATTTTATATCTATTGCGCTTGTCAATTGGTATTGAAATCGAATAGAGGTCGAAGCCGCTTAGGGAATTGGTAAGGTAAAAACCAATGATTAGCAGGAACCTGAAAACAGTAGATCGACTTATTTTTATAATCACTTATTTTAATCACTTATTTCGTGTTATGAATCAATCCTAAAACCAACCCCCCATTAGATTTCTATTAGTTAATAATAAAATCAAGAATCCTTGCGATACGACTCGAGCCATTGTCAATATACTGCATTTTACAAAATACTCGTTTTTGATCTGTGTGCGACAGCGGATCAATGAGGCAGTCAGTCCGTCTCTATATTTTGAGGGACCAGGTATGTCCATGACGTGGACGATGTTGTTGTTGTCGGTGTTGTTATTGTTACCGGTGTTGAGGCCAGCGGGACCAGCGTTATTGATACCAGCGTTATGGTCGGTGACATTTTTGTTAACGTCGCCGGGATGGACATTCAGGTTGTTTTCTGCTGTGAGGCCAGCCATGATAGTCAAAAGGAGTTGGATTAGCTTTTGTCTTGGATGAATGAAAGACGGGGAAACTGTGTTTTCCACAGACGGTGCCGCTGATCGTACCTGACTAGAATGGGCTGTCACAGCTTACGTCGAGCAGAACTTGAGAGTGAAGTGGGGGGATACCTGCAAGACACTCTGATGCCAAAGTGAGATTCAAAATAAGCTAGCAAGAAAGAGTGAATAAGAGATGTTCCATAACTAACCCTCTCGAAAGAGAGGGTATTTATAACCCCTAGCACTGGGTCAAGGTCTCCTCATTGGGATGGTAAAGCAGGCCTAAAATGGAGATTGTCAGGTCCTACGTGAGTAGTGGGGACCCGCACGTGATCCTCCACCTGGATGACTTCCTCCGTAAGATCAAGAGGATATGGATGCGGTCTTTCCGGGGCCACAAAGACTCTGTGATATTCGGAGACATTGATAGTTAGCCCTATGAGGAGGATGCTCGTGAAGTGGTTTTGCTCGTCGTGGATGCTCGCCGCCAGACGCGAGGTCGTGTGAGGGGATCAGTCTTGGTCGGGGAGAGGATCAGAGGGTGACCTCGAGGTCCTCCTGGCCGGCGATGATCTTCCTAAGACCAACTGGGTTTATCCCCGTGCGATGAGGTTGTCTCCTTGCGGAGAGTGGAAGTTGTTGCCCGATGCAGTCGAGGGCAAAACTGACCAATATGTCTTGACCGACATAATTCGGTTGGGTCTCACATGGAGTTGGGCCAAGAGCAGACCCAATCCAGAACAAGTTGACTTAAATTTTGGTAGAGTTTATGATCAGTGTATATTGATGCATATTCTCTTATGCTTGTACTTAGGCATTTCCATGGTTTGTTTTGTTTATTTTTCGTATTTATTTTCAGCATTAGTAGCTTTCAATGAAATAATCATAACTGGAGCTTCGGGAATCAGATCGACGCGTTATAATAATCATTGGAAAGCTGAGAGAAAGATCTACAACTTTTATTTTGGAGTCGGAAACTGATTTGGAGTGCATAATTCCCAGTAATTCATTGAAGTTTCAGACGTTAGAAAACAATTTGTTTCGGGTCATTTTATGGGTCTGGTTTATGTTTCTGGCCCAGTTTGAGTTAGTAGTGAAAAACCCTATTTTGTTTATAAGGTTTTGAGCCGTGCTAGAAAAGAAAGTTAATTCACTTTTCACGATGGAAACTTTGACTTGTACGCTTGAATGAAGAACTAATCATCCAGAGTTGATCTACTGTAATCGCGTTCCGATGCTTTGAGGTTTTTAATTTATCAATTCAATTTCGTTTCTCTTTCAATTCTATTTTATGAAATTGCATTTGCTTAATCTGTTATTTCATGGAATGTCTTGATTAAATTCGTATGATTGTATTCATAATCTTTAATCGTTGTTTACGTCGCTTAGTCGTTAAATCGCGTTCTATATCGTGTTTGCTTAATTCACGATTGTATTAATCTGTTTGCTTAATTCGGAATGGGAATTCAATCTATTTTATATCTATTGCGCTTGTCAATTGGTATTGAAATCGAATATAGATCGAAGCCGCTTAAGGGATTGGTAAGGTAAAAACCAATAATTAGCAGGAACCTGAAAATAATAGATCGACTTATTTTTATAATCACTTATTTTAATCACTTATTTGCTCAGCTCTTTAAAAATTGATCATGAATTAAATTCCCCATAATCACTTCTGTTGATTAATAATAATATAAGAATCCTCGCGATACGATACTCGAATTATCGTTACCATAACTACATTTAAAATTTACTCGTTTTTGATCCGTGTGCGACAGCGGATTAGTTTATAAATTTCTTCAAAAGTGAGTTAAGCATAAAATTTTAGTGTAAAAAAAATTTTAATAAAAAAGTTACAAATTCAATCTAAGAAGAATCACTTATTTCTATTCAAAAATAATGAAAAATGTTAAAATCAATTTTATTTATTATCAATTTTGATTGTTTTAAACGTGTAGCCTAACATATAATTTAGTGATTGTTGTGAATCACATGAATAGATTATATTAAATTTAATTAGAGAAATTTAGTTTTTAAATTCATTAAATAATTAATATATAATTATTCAGGAAGTACCTTATTACTAGTTGGTGTGTAAACTTGATTTAGAAGGTAGACAGAAAAGGACATATTAGATTCCCATTCATGGCTATGCTTCAAAAGCAATTATTAATATTCCTTTCTGTCTTCTATAATTAATATTCTCATTTGGTCCTTACTTAGTGGCTTTATTATGTCAATTGTGATTTCAATTCTACTCTTCACTATGGTTAATATTATATATCACAATTCATCATTTTACACATATTAAAAAATAATAATAAATAAAAGAAAATAATAGATTTACTAAATTATCTTAATTAATTATTAATATATTCAAATTAATATTATTTTTAATTGAAAAAATAATAAATTAAGAATATTTGTTAAATAATATAATTAAAAAATTAAATATAAAATTACATTAGTAATCTAAAATCACCAATATATATTGTGAACTATTATTATAAATTGTCCTTGAAGTTTTAATTTAATCAATCATCATATAAAAACATAAGAATATCAACTACCTAACATTGGCTTTTGTCTTTGAACATATGCATTGGGTGTAGAATCTAAGGTTCATCATCAATCATGAATGTACTAAATTGTGCATGCATGAGAATGTATGTGCATTTCACTCTTACCTTAAATTAGCATGTGTGTGAAGAAGAGAAAGAGAGTAGGACACCTAATAGGACCTCATTAATGGTCATATGGTACATGGAATAATTAAAACACACATTTATATTATAAATAAAACTTAACTTTTTAAATGTATTGAATAATTATTGTATTTGATTGAATATTTTCAATAATATATTTTTCGATCAAAATATATTATTAAAATATTTCTGACTTTAAACGAAATCTTTATAAATGAACGATAAAATTGATCATTTTAAATTAGTCAGTGACAAGCCAGATATCAAGATTTGAAAAAACTATATAAAACCAAACAATAAATATATTTATAAAATCTACAGAAGTCAAATATAGAAAAAACAGCAGTGTGCAAAGATGGGCCATAATTACTCAAAAAGGGTTAAACCTCACCAGTATTTCAAAAACCAGGGCCCAATTGAATTATGGCCATAATTACCTTTGTATCTTTCTTTGGTACATAATTACCATATTACTTTTGAGTATATAGCTCATTTATTTGATGAAATGCTAAAATTCTGTCAATTAAAAAAAAAAATTTTGAGAGGAAGCAATTCACCCATTTAAATTAAAAAATTGTTAATTAATTAATTAATTTTCTAAACTTATCACCATAATTTTAATCGTAAATATAATATAATTTTAAAAATAATTTTGTAAAATTTAATAACCAAACAAATGTTATTATTTTTAATTTTTCAAATAAAAAAATATTTTAATAAAACTAAAACAAATCAACACTAAATTGGTCTTACTTTTACAATTTAAAAAAATAATGATTTACACTATTACTTTTACTCTAGATTTTCTTCATTTATATCAACATTTTGTTGTTTCTAAATGTTCCTAACCATCAAAGCAATGGATGGCAAAGAAAACTCAAAGGTACATCATCAACAAAAGCTACAACATTTTGAAGAAAAAGAAAAATACACTTCATCATCTTTTCCCCTCACACCAAGAGAAGAATCATCCATTGAATCAACTAGTAGTAGTAGCAATGCAATGGATGATGAAGAAGAAGAAATTAGTTTGAATGAGTTGCTTCTTGATGCAAATATAAAGAAGAAAATTGAACTTTTGGCTGCAATGGTTGGAGTTGACACTGCTGAGCCAGCTATTGTGTTGAGTGAAGTAGTTAGGGTTCTTAAGGCTTTAAAAGCCATTAGTCACTATTGATCAAGTTTTTATCCTTAAGTTTTAGGGCTTGGGTAATGGTTTGTAGTAATTCAGAGTTCGACCAAAAAATTAATAAATTTAAGTTTAATATTAATCAAATTTATTTTTTGTTCTTAAGCTTTAATGCTCAAGTTTTTTAAATGAAGGAATTCTAGTAATGTAGAGTTTTACTTTTACCGAGATAAATAAAATCTAGTTTAGTATTAATTATATTATATTTATTGAGAGTGATTTTTAAGTTTCTTTCTATAATTAGTGTAATTTCTCTACTTCTTTTTTTTAAATGTATTGATAGCTCCTTGAAAACGTTCAATACAAGCAATGAAGTTCTTTGAAACATTAATAAAAGAAGTTAGCATGAAAGTATTTAAAATAACTTTAATAGTGATTTTTAATTTTGCCTTTTTAATCATTATGTGGATGTATCAAAAGTTTTATATTGATGATGGTCTCTAAACATGATATTAATGTAAAATTTGGGAAGTACGAGGGGGAAATTTCATTATTTATATGTCTCAAATTACGTGGTCTTTTAATTTAATTTAGATTTAAATAATTTTTTGGTTTAGATAAGTTTGCATGTTTTTTATTTTTGTGTCTGTATTTTTTTTCTTGGATAAAATTCTTAAATATTAAATTTTATTTGGTTTTAGTCTCTAAAATAAAAATTCGCAGGAAAATCTGCAGGTTTTCTACAAATTTACCTTCGAATTTTCCTGCGGATTTTAACTTTAGGGACTAAAATCAAAAGAATTTTAACATTCAGGGATCATTTCCAAAAAAAATAAAATACATGAACCAAAAAAAAAATACGCCAACTTATAGGGACCAAAAGACTATTTAAGTCTTTAATTTAAATTTTCCTTTTTAATTTTTATGTAAAATCAATTGTTATATATAAGAATAATAACTTCAATAATATCAAATTATATTTTATTTAATTTGAATATGGAGCATCAGAAACATAACTAAATGATGCGCCAATTCAATTCATGAACATACTAATTAAAATAAGTGATCAATCGAGAGTGAGACACGTATACTTAGTGTCTCATTTGTTGTAATAAAGTCTAGGAAAAATACTTTTTTCGTCCCTTAATTTTGTCTCGGGATCTATTGTGGTCCCTTATCTTTTAAAAAGTACAAAAAAATCCCTTAAGTCTTAAAAATGGAGCACGTTTGTCCTTTCGTCTGTCTCTGTTAGTGAGTGTGTAAAATGTATGTATATTGGCATGGTTGATGTGTTACATGGCAATTACATGATATATGTTTAACTTTTGTGAACAAAGACAACATTCAGAGATTGAAGCTATTCGCTCAGAGAGAGAACTTGAAGGCGAACTGTCGTTTCTAAAAAGCAAGAACCATCATGCAGTGAAGAACATTGAAGGAGAACAATCGTTTATGATAATGAAGAACCATAGTTGCAAACAGGTTAGACCTTTGTTGATCTGTATAAGTTCTGATAGTGGTAGAAATTAAGGTTTTCTGTTGAATCGTTTGTTTGTATGTTTTTCAAAATTCGAAATTAGGATTTTGCATGTTTTTAATCTGAGTAATTAGGGCGTAGTTGAAATTAGGTTTTATTGAATAATATTCATTTTGAATTGACTAGGTGAAATGGAGGATTATATTGTATTAAGAATTCATCATAGTGATGAATTTGTTGATGGTGATCTTAGGGTGTACGAAGGAGGGGAAGTTGTTGAGCTGAAAATAGACGTTGACACATGGAGTTACTTTGAGATGACAGGGGCACACTGAAGTGTTTAGGTTATAGGGGTTTTGAGAAAAATCTATTACAAAGACCCGACATTTTGGATACAACAAATGATTGATGATGTTGAAGCCTTAGAAATAGATGACCTTTATAAGGTTCACTTAAGTGTAGACATTTATATTAAACACACAATTGAGTAGCCTGAATATATATAAAGTGTTTTCAATGTCAATGAGGAGCATGATGTCAATGAGGAGTGTGATGTCAATGATGTAGTTGAAGAAGTGCTTTCTAATTTGCATGAAGAAGCTGTCAATGAAAATGATAAGTCCAATGAAGCTGAGATGGAGGCTGAGAAGGTTTGGAGACTGAGAAATTAGGTATGGAGGCTGAACAGGTTGTGTTAGAGGTTCAACAAGTTGTGTTAGAGACTGAGAAGGATGGTATGGATGCTGAGCAGGATGAACATGTTCTGTTGGAGGCTGAGAAGGATGTATGGATGCTGAGAAAGATGGCATGGAAAGTGGTGAGGTGGATGATGGCCTAAGTAGTGATGACAGTGAGTTTAACTATGATAGTTCAACTATGATATCTCCATATGATGAAGACACCTCCAAGATATTGGAGTAGATCTTGTTTAAAAGGAACTAATAAATGTGTGTTGTGGTCAATAACATGTCTGAATCTTTCAACATTGTTATTCTTGAGTCAAGGTCCAAACGCTTAGTAACCATGGTGGAAGAGATCAGGACATATTTAATGGGAAAATGGGCAACAAATAGAATGAGGTTTCATAAACTTATTGATGATGTTGTCTTGCCTAATATCAGAAAGAAAGTTGATATAACAAGTAGTTACACAAATGCATGGATTATGAGGCATGTCTTATGGTTTGTATTAAATAGATATGTCATATGCTTTGAATTATGTCTCTAATGCTATTGTTATTATGTAGGATGTTTGCTGAACACATATTTGAGGTACATCATGTGGAAAATCATGCAGATATATTTCCTGTGAATTTGAAATAAGGTGTGTGCGCTCTTGTAGAAAGTGGGAATTAATTGAATTGCCCCGTGTTCATGCACTGGCTAGCATTAAAAGTAGGAACTTCAAGATTGAGGATTACATCCTTATTTATTATAGGAAGTCAATGTACATTAAGGTATATTCATCTGTCATTTATCTTGTGAATGGATCCAATCTCTGGACCAAAACTGAATATCCAGATGTCTTGCCTCCTAAGTATAGAAGGATGCCTGGAAGGGCAGAGAAAAAAAGAAATCTTGAGCAATTGGAGCTAGATGGGTATGATTAAAAAAATGAAGAGAACGGGTTTTACAGTCAAGTGTTCTAGGTATAGGCATACGGGGCACAATAAATCAACATGTAAGGTGACTCCAGCTACTCAAGGTACTCACAAAGTGCACAAGGTACTTAACAAAGTGCACAGGGTACTCAACAAAGTGCACATGGTACTCAACATACTATCAACCTTAGCCAACCAACTCCAGCTACTCAAAGATCTCAACATGCTGTCAACCTTAGCCGATCAACTCCAACTACACAGGGTTCCAAGAAGTCAACTACTACTGAAAAACAAGGAAGTTATGCAATATCAATGCTAAAAAGGCTAACTAAGTTGGATGTCATGAGGCCATCAACACTTTTTGTTCCTCTTGGACCAACTACAAGACTAACTGCTATCAAGAATGTGATTGGCCAAACTACAACGAGGACAACTCCAACTAAGAGGACAACTCCCAAGAAAAAAACTTAGATTTATTTAGGATGTCATTTTGAATTTTTGTCATTTTGTGTAATGGTCTTAACTGGTATTTGGAACCATATATTATTGTTTTGTGTTATGCTTATGTATGTCATCTTGAATTGTTGTAATTTTGTGTAATAGATATGAATTTAATTTTGAACAAATTTTTGTTAATGGAAATTATGTGTTATGTTAAAATTCTGTTTATTACAAGTTTATGTGTTAATGTATAATTGAACAATGGAACAATGTTGCAATAAACAACTGAACGGATAAAATTGAACCGATATAATTGAACAATTGAACTTATAATAGTGATTTGGAACAATACAACATTTCATTACAACTTAACATAGAACAATATAACATTTCATTACAACTTAAAACCAGATCTAAGCCATTACACTGCAACTTAAACATTACAATTCATCATGAACCAAACCAGAATTGTTGCACCTAAAATAATAAACATAATACAATAGTTTTTCAACTTCAGAATCTTGTTCATCTCCTTCCTTAATTCTTCATTTATCAAGTTAATTTTTTCAATCTCTATTGTTGCATCATCCAATTTCTTTGATAACTTTTCCAGACTATACATTATAATTTTTCATATATCATCTTGAGCTTCCTTATAAAACCATTCAAAAAACTCACACGCAGGTTGTCTTGTTCCCTGCAATTTATGATGTATTACTCAAACACTAACAATGGAGATAAAAATCTTGTACATTTCACAAACATGCCTTAAAATGAGTACAACCCCAAAAATGTTTCCCATAGCTCTTTACCGTTGAAGACCTGCGAAGAATAGACGTGTCTCCATAGTGACAAGTTGGTTTCCATGTGAGATTGGAACTCGTGAGCACACTGCAGTTCATACTTTCTTGACTTTTCTGGTTCATGGGGGATGAAGCATAACCAAATGCCATTGATGATGAACCTTATTCTTTAATTTTTTGGGGGAAATCTCAATCCTATATACGATGAAAGAAGTTGATTTGGTGAAATAAACAAGGGGAAAGGAAGGAGACAAGCCATGTCATTTGCCACGTTTGCAAACACAAACATATGTTTACAGTAAATGGAGGGAAAGGATCTACGTGCTCGTTTTTTAAGACTTAAAAAATTATTTTGTACTTTTTAAAAGATAAGGGACCACAATGGACTCTGAGACAAAGTTAAAGAACGAAAAATGATATTTTCCCTAAAGACTAATAAGGACGAGGAATTAACATTTCACCCTGTTATACATAATGTCACCCCTCTAAAGGATATGTTTTTACCATTATACCTGATCACGACTTTGTGAGTCTTAAAGAATCTAGACTGCAAGTATACAGTCCTATAGCGTGTAGCTTTAAAGATTATCGAATCCCAAGGGACTAATGTCGATCTACCGTTATCTTAGGTTACTACGTAAATCTAAGGCTAATAATGTAATTAATAGGGGGTTTAGGGAACCTAACTGGTTATAATCTAGTTTAGATTCAAGGGAGAATATCGATA